TCCATGACATATCGCCATCAGCTTGATTATAACGCAGCTGCAGGTGTGAAAGTCAAAAATACTTTTAAGTCTAAAATATCATTAATTTTTTGAGCATATATTATTAATGAAAAAACTCAAAAGAAAAGTTGTAGATCTCGTCGAGGTCTATAATTTTCATATAAAAATTATCTTCATTTAATTCAACAAAAAATATATGATTTTTCTAAGATATATTAATCATATCAAATCATATTTTTTTTATGAATTAAATGAAGATATTTTATATGAAAATTATAGATCTCGACGATCTACAACTTTCTAGTTTTGAGTTTCATCATTCAAGTCATTAAGATGCTAAAAAATTAATGACATATTTAGATTTAAGGGTATTTTCATTCGACGTTAGAAACCGACAAGATTCAGAGTGCTTTTACTTCGAACGGGTTCCCCCAACTTTTTTCGCTACGAACTCAGTAATAGAGTGATTCAGCGTGCATAGGACTACGACGAGAACACAGATTCAGAAAAGTGCTTTTTTACTTCCGAACGGGTTACGATCCAGTATGGGACAGAGATTGGGTCCAGCAATGGCTGGTTGGTACGGCTAAGCCGGGCCGGGCCAGAAGCCCAGAAGGTGACATGTCTCGAACGGATCTCCGGACAGGCGGGCACCATCGATCGATTTGTGCACGTGCCTGTTCTCTTTTTACAACGACCCGCCGGGCCCGGGATAGGGAAGACTCCTGACGCGAAAAGAAAAGAAAAGAAATTCGAGTTAGAGGAAGCGAGCACGAAGCCAGACCGGTAAAACCTGGCCACTAGCCGCTAGGGACGATCCTGTTGACGACGTACTAGTCCAGGCCGAATCTTCCACGCCCGCCACGCGAGCACATCATCACCTCCGCAGGCCGCAGCCGCGACCGCGAGTGCCGTCTCCGCCACAGCCAGCTCAGAGCAAATGCTCCAGCCATCTGTCTCTTCTTCCTCCCTCGCGCTCTCGCCTCCCTGAGACCCTCTGACCCAGCGGACCTGCGTGCTATAAATACCCGCCACTCTGCCGGCGGGCTCCTGTCCTGGCCAGCAGCACGGCATTGCACGCCTCCGGCCGGCCGCTGCTGTGCTGCTGCCGCCGCACATCCGTGATCCGTCCTCCTCGTCCCCGCACTGCCTTCGCCTCGTCCTCCACTTGTGAGTTGCCTCTGCTCTCTGCTGGCCCTCCGCACGTGCCACCTGACCACTCACGCACAAGCACAAGGCATGGTTGTGCACATGGTGACATGGATCATGTTTCATGGATATGCGTTTCTTTCCCAGTTTCTTGCTGGATTGGATGGTGTGTCTCCCAGCGGCCAGCGTCCTAAATTGTCAATCTCTATGGTGCAGTGCAGAAGGTGCTTCGTTGCAGGTTTGGCGCCACACACGTGTGCTCGCGTTTGCTGATGTTCATCTAATTATATATCCCGGCCGAAAGATCAATTGTCCGAGGAGGGAGACAAAGGGAGAGATTTCTACTCAAGGTGAGTTGCTTGACCCAGGCCAATTCCTTGGCTGTTCATGGATCATGGATGGTGCTCCCTGTTTGTGCCTGCCTGCGTGCTCTTCTTCTCTTGCCCGTCTCATCCAACAGGGCCGTCGAGGCCTGGTTCCAAATTCTAAAAAGACCCTTACTGGCCTTAAAAAATAAAATAATATATACATACATAGCAATACGATAAATAAAAAATCATACCTATTTATTTTATGATTGCATAATTTTTATTTGAACACAATATCATTCTCTTAGTGTTCTTTAAATTATTTAACAGAATTAAAATAAAAAGACTTGTTTTCACTTGTTGAGTAGTAATTTGTGACCCTCACAAAAAAAAGAGAGAGTAGTAATTTGTGTTTTTTTATCGGATGTGAGTGTATGCACCATCGACCGTTTTGCGCAATACAACAGTTCTACATCTACTTATAGCAACGAGTAATTATTCATTAACATAAAGAAATATTTGTATCGATAAATATAAGATAATTAGTCAATTAGATAATTACCTTCCACGAGTTTAGGTCTTTAGGAATCAGAAATTTACCCCTTGTGACCTACACCTGGGCGCTGGCCTCCAGACCTCCATCCGCCTTGTAGCTTGTTTGATCACGGAGATGGAGGGACAGTGAAGTTAGGATGGGAGAGCTGGGGAGACGGATTGCTGTAGATGGATGCCATGCGCCGGCTTGTTTGATCATGAAGACAGGAGACACGGAGAAGCCAGATGAGACTAAGGGAGAGCTAGGGAGACAAAAGTAATCTGGCTTAATGCGCCATAATTTTTGGGACCTCTTCGAATTTGGGGCCTGTACGATCGCACGGCTTGCACGCCCGCCGGCACGGCCCCTGTCATCCGATCAAACATGAGACGGTGACGAGATTTACAGAGAAACGCTGGACGAGAGCATTATGCTGACCTCTATCTGAACTCTGAACCAGCGCCCGTTCCGAGGGCAGCCTCAGGTTGTTTGTTGATCAGTTGATTTTTGAGCGGGTTGTTGATCAGTTATAGCTGCTGCAGCTTCGCGCATGCCTGCCATTTGGCTGTTGCTTCGGAAAACTAAGAGGCAAAAAACAAAATGATTCAAAGGTTCAATCTGAAGGAGCACAATGCGTGTGCACCTGCTATGTGCCTATGCATGCCTTCACTACATTCTTCTTTTGTATCGAGCGCTTAATCCTCATGGCTCAATCCCTTAATTCTTGGCATCATTGAGCTTTTCTTGTCCCAACTCCCAGCAAACATGTAAAGGTCCTAATATAAGGAGGAAGGTCCTAACATATAAGGAGGAAGAAAACACATCTTGCCTTTCTTTTCGTCAACTCAAAACGATCGCTCAAGACAAAAGAGAGCTTGCGAGCGAGATAACACCGTTACAAAACAGACAAGTGGCTCAAGTTCTCTAGCCTCCGTACCACTTCCGTGTTCTACATGAGCTTCTCTAGCAAAAGACCATAATTTTGTTGCCACGTCAGATGCTGCTCCGTCTCATTTGCTGCCAGCTGGCTTATCAACTTGGAGCTTATTGCTCACACCTGGGCCCCGTGTCCAGTCAATTATTGCTGATGTTGATCCATCTTCATAAAATATCTTTGCAAGAACTGTTAGTATTACTTACTAATCCGTATCTCCGATTGATTCGCCGCCACTCTTATCTTATATAGTAGATAGAGTTGATTAGTACAGAATCCATATTTCTTTTGCTCATGATGACTAACTAGCCGTACGTTTTGACCTAGAAATCGGCTTTTCAACCAGAAGAAGAGTGTTTTTCTCTCACAACAATTCAGCCAGAACAGTGTTTTTCAGCCAGTTTCAGACAAGATTCAGCCAGCCGAACGAAGCCATAAGACCATGTCATTTTCTCCACAACCAGCTGTGATATATGGGTCACTTTTAGAACCATTTGGATATTCAAAACAAACATCAGCACGTATAAACTTGTGCATCTCTAGATAGTGATTTTTTCCACGAAACCTTAATAATAATAGATTTTGGAGGATTGATTTAGAACGCTCTTGAGCAACTCCAAGGTGAGGTGTTCCATTTTCTCATCCATCCACCATTGATTCTTCGGGCGCCTGTGGGGCCTAACCGTCCGATCCGGACAAGGACAACCGACCAGCGCTTCCCGTTCCACCGTACGTCGTCGTTCCCCTCCCCACTACGGCCCTACCTCCCAGTCCCAGCCCCAGGTCCCAGGTCCCAAGTCCGAGCCGGACCCTTGATCGCCGCCGTGCCTCGGCGCGAGGAATGGGGCCTTCGGTCCTACCCTCGCACGCGCCTCCTCCCCCTTGCGCCGCCGGCATCAGGCGACGCCTCTGTGCGCGCCGCCGTGCCTTCAGCCGTGGCCGGCGCCGCATCAGCGTGCTCCAGAGAGGACCACAGCTTCCGGCAGATGTCCCCGACGCCGCCCCCCGCTTGTGGGGACTGGGAAGGGCCGCTGACCCCGGGCACCTGCGGACCTGCCCACTGGCCAGTGTTGAAAGGTAGAACCCCAAATGGAAGGTTTGGTAATTGAGATGTTGATTTTAAGCTAGACTTTTGAGGTTTTTAAGCTTAAAGCTTTTCAACTAATCTTCGACTAAAGGTTTGAAATTCCGTGTTTAGAGTTGAATTTCTCGATTCAATAGTTTAGATTTGTCTAATTTTAGCTAAAGAGAGAAGGGATGGAGCGCCAGACTTGAGTTGGCCGCACGCAGCTGGGAAGTAGGATCCCAGAACACTGTCGTCCATCTATTGATTGACTTAGGCCTTGTTTAAATCAGGTGTAAAGTCTTGGGGTGTCATATCGGGATGTCACATGGGATGTTCAGCTAATAAAAAAAACAAATTACAGAATCCGTCGGTAATCCGGGAGACGAATTTATTAAGCATAATTAATCCGTCAGCAGCACATGTGTTACTGTAGCACCACATTGTCAAATCATGGACTAATTAGACTTAAAAGATTCATCTCGCAAATTAGCCGCAAACTGTGCAATTAGTTATTTTTTTAGTCTATATTTAATACTTCATGCATGTGTCAAACATTTGATGGGATAGGGAGTAAACTTTAGGGGGAGGAACTAAACAAGCCTTAAACATTTGTCCGTATCTATTATTTTAATTCCTTTTTATATTCTACCGTCACATATCTGATATGCCTGTGTTTTGATTGTGCGAGGGCATACCAAATGATTGGCTAAACCTTAGTCTTACTTCGTTGTCTTTCCTTGCGCTGTACGGCAAGGCAACCACCAATTTGGTAAAAGCATATAAACAGGCTTACAGATCAATAATTACAAAAAAAAAAGTAGCTTTCAAGAAGTTTGCTTATGTAATGGCATTATAGCATTATTTTTTTCTTTTTCCTGAAGAAGTGATAATTGCCAAAATAGCATTAATTATTAGTGCCATCATATGGCTGTACTATCTTTTTTTTTCTGTAACAGGACATCTAATTCTTTATCTTCAGTTTCAGATTCTGTTATTTGAAACGTCAAGATGGTTAATTTCGGAAAGAAATTGATGGCTCATCAAGTGGAAGAATGGAAAGGGTATGTCTTTTCTTTTGGTAGTCATGAAATGATCTATTCCTTTATCTTTTCAGGGCAAAGGTTCTCTACTTTCATATATGCCCACTCCACTAGGATACAATACATTAATACACCATACTGTAGTCATCACCATATTGCAGTCCTTAGTATCGTCATCTGGTTAATTTTATAATTAAATTAAAAAAATCTAGCAGTTATCAAATTGATGGGTTGCGCTACAATGATGAAGTCAATTCCCGCTAATGCAAGCTAGTGTCACTTTGTTTAACAGTTTATCAAAAATCTTATCAGCTTTTTGGTCTTTCCATTGCTAGATACTACATCAATTACAAGCTGATGAAGAAAATGTTAAAGCAGTATGTCCAACAGACCCAGCATGGTGGGAAAGATCGTGAACAAGTTCTTAAAGACTTTTCAAGGATTCTTGATGGCCAGGTATACAAAGAATGCTTTCCCTTGAAATTATCATAATATAAGATTTTGAGCATCATGTCTATTCTGTCAGTAGTCACTTGTAGCCTTGTAGGGACTGGAACAATGTCATACGACAAACTTAGTCTTAGTGAATTGGGATCATTTTCCTTAGTTGTGAGCTAAAACACAAATTTATTTCTTTGTTCCAGATTGAAAGGATCGTGCTTTTTCTGCTACAACAACAAGGCCATCTTGCCAGTAGGATTGAGGAATTGGGAGAAAAACGCACTGTTCTTCTAGAAGAGTATGACATATCGCAAGTTTATCAGCTACATGATGCATACAGAGAAGTCGGGCTTGATCTCATAAAGCTTGTCCGCTTTGTTGATGTGAATGCTACTGGTATACGCAAGATACTAAAGAAATTTGATAAACGCTTTGGCTACAAGTTCACTGATTATTATGTCACCACTCGTGCAAATCATCCTTATTCTCAGCTTCAGCAAGTCTTTAAGCAAGTGGTAATTTTCATGCATATTGCATTTTTAGGGACCATTGCCTTTTCATTTCTTGATGTATAAAGTAATTCACCAATACCATGCACTCCTACGGATGCAGGGAATTGTAGCTGTTGTAGGTGCATTATCACGCAACCTTGAATATCTGCAACATCATGAAGGAAGCTTTGTATCCATCTATGATCGTCCAGCAGTTACCCTGAAGGTATTCTATTTTCACTATTCCATTCTCAGTTCAAAATTTTTGCTGACGAATTTATAAATTAAAACCTTGAAAGGTGCTCTTTCTGACCTCAGAACTGCATTTTTTAAGGAAAGAACTGCATCAATTATATTTCCACATGAACTAGGGTGTGATGTGACACTTTTTTTTTTGGTTATATATTCAGGACCCTATTATAGACCAAGTAAACCATGCAGTACAGAAGCTCACGCATGCCACAAATTTTATGCAATTCTTGGGACAGCACTCGCTTATTGTCCAGGAAGATGCACAAAGTGGGTCGGAGGATCTTGTTGATGATCAGAACTACCATTTCATGTCCCTGATGCTTAATCTAGTGAACACATTCCTTTACATGGTGAATACATATATCATTGTGCCAACTGCAGATGACTATGCTGTAAGCCTTGGGGCTGCTGCAACTGTCTGTGGTGTAATTATTGGATCGATGGCAGTTGCTCAAGTGTTCTCCTCAGTCTACTTCAGTGCCTGGTCAAATAAGTCCTACTTCAAACCTCTTGTATTCAGTAGCATTATGCTGTTTCTTGGAAACATGTTGTATGCATTGGCATATGATCTGAATTCACTAATAGTTCTCCTGATTGGACGACTGCTATGTGGGTATGCAATTTTCTCAATTCACTCTATCTCACTTCATTTATGTTTCACTTTTGTAAGCTAGAATTGATCTGGGTGAAACTTATTAGGATGGCAAATGCAGGTTGAGGATCCTTAAGCTGAGGGCATATTCTAGAATATTTATATTGTTGAATACAAAACAAAATGGAAACTGTCTAGCTTACACGGAGATGAAGGATTTTAAAGCTCAAGACTGACATTAGAATATCTGCTTTTCCATTTCCTTATAGAACTTAATTAGTTATCCCTACCTCCCTTTGGGCTAGTAATTTGCCTATATTGTTTAAGGTTCTTGATTTTCTGAAGATGCATCTGTGATCGAGCTGCCAACATGTGATGTGCAGGTTAGGCTCTGCAAGAGCAGTGAACCGTCGCTATATCAGTGACTGTGTGCCTCTCAAGATGAGGCTACAAGCCTCTGCCGGGTTCGTTAGTGCTAGCGCTCTTGGCATGGCATGCGGCCCTGCTCTTGCTGGTTTTCTCCAGATTAAATTCAAGATATACTCGCTCACTTTTAATCAGAGCACATTGCCTGGATGGGTCATGTGCATTGCTTGGTTTATTTACTTGTTGTGGCTGTGGCTTACATTCAAGGAGCCGGAACACTTCACTAAAACCCTGGTCAACGAACAGCCATCAGAATCTGGTAAGCTAACAATACACTGAAATGGCAACATGTTCTGTTTGAATTCATGAATATACTTGAATCAAACCTTATTGTACAATAAGGATGTGTATGTTTACCATTGTCAGGAACTTTTCTGAGATGTTTATTTCCTTATGAAAATAGGTCGCCAAGGAAATTCTAACTTGGAGGAAGGTCTAGCTCAACCATTGCTTCTAGGTATAGAACAAAGGCAGGAGGAGAACTCAGAAGATAATGATGATACTGAAGTAGCCTCAGAAAGATCTCATGAACCAGCAACATCAATTGCTTCAGCATACAGATTGCTAACTCCATCTGTGAAGGTTTCCTTCCCCCTCCCTTCCCAATTATCGATTTTTCTATCTTGTTCTTGGTTCAAACATTTGAAAGAAAGACTCTCACAGTCTACATAGGATTCTTTTATAAATAAAGTTAGATAAATTAACTATATATAATGTAATAAAATTGTATCTTTAAATAGTAATGGATAAATACATTCCAGTTGCTAGTAGGTATGTCTGCATGTCATACAAGCAAACATAACTGTATTACCGTTGACACACCATGTAGAAAAACTAGACCAACCTAGAAGGAACTGGGGCGCATTTTATTTAAAAGAAAATAGGCACCCCAATTCGCCTTGACAAGGACTTGAACCTAGGTGGTCTGGGTTTACATCCACACCCTTGGCCAAGTGAGCCAGCTCAGCTTCCTTAAACCATGTCAAATAAACTGAGCCAGATGAAAAGTTGCATGCACATCTACCCTTTTCTTTGGACCAGTACATGCTCAGCTACCCTTGTCATCTTCGATCTTTGTTGGAGCTACCTTCCTATGTATTCATATCTTTATAAACTGGTTGTTTATCAGGCCCAGCTATTGATATACTTCATGCTCAAGTACGCAATGGAAATACTACTCTCGGAATCGAGCGTTGTCACCACATACTATTTTAGCTGGTCTACTAGTGTTGTGGCTATCTTCCTAGCGATTCTTGGATTAACGGTTCTTCCAGTAAATGCCATTGTTGGAAGCTACATTACAAATTTGTTTGAGGATAGGTAAGCTTTGTACTCTTACAAAACATAGGAAACTTTTATCTTCTCTAGACATTGTTTTTCTCTTAAACTGAGAAATGCTCTGCAGATATATTGCCAATTGTTTTAGAAATTAAAACGTACTCTAAAGCATAATGAACAACTGCTAATGTGGACCTTCTCATTTGCAGGCAAATTTTGTTGGCATCTGAAGTCATGGTTCTCATCGGTATAATCATGAGCTTTCGTTTCACACCTCACTACTCCATTCCACAATATGTCATTTCAGCTCTCATCACATTTGTATTTGCTGAGGTGCTTGAAGGTATGTATGTTTATATACATTCGGAGTACGAGACAGCCAAACCTAAATCGATCATACGCTGCTGATTTATCAGTCACGCAAATTCTAATGTCGAGTCATGCAGGAGTGAATCTGTCCTTGCTCTCACGAGTAATGTCATCGAGGCTTTCCCGAGGGACCTACAATGGTGGACTCCTTTCGACAGAGGCTGGGACGTTGGCCCGTGTAGTTGCAGATGCCACGATTACTGCAGCTGGTTATCTTGGCACGGACCTCCTCCTCAATGTCACTCTTCTCCCATCTCTTGTGATCTGCATAGTCTCCATCGCAGCAACACTCTACACTTACAACAATCTCTATTGAAGCTCTTGTAGCTGTACAAGTGTACAGCAATGTTCCTAAGCTAAAACGGTTCCTGCCCACAATGGGTTTGTATATCTGTTCAAGCATGGTTTGTAAACATTTTGATCAAGTTTGTATGCAAAATTTCTTGTATTTAGTGCATTTTATGTAAAGATTCATCTTGTAAAGAATTATGAACTATGAGCCTCCATTGCTGGCTTATGTATTAGTCCGTTTATGTTTGTCTTTTAGCATTATGTTATTTGAATTTGTCTAATCAAGGTCATCTTCCAATACAAGCACGTCAGTGACATATTACTGAATAGGCCTTTTTTGGACGTGAGATGCTAAAGACAACCTATAACTGAAAATTTTTATAACATCGTTTTTTTTAACCAAACAGTAGGAGCTCTGACTATCAATTAAGGGGAAAGAGTTTTATATACAGCGATGGGCCCGAACACAATAGCAAGCGACGAACGGGAAATCACTCTCACACACACGAATTGGAGTAGATACATGGAGACTGCACTGATTTTCCGAAACTCCCAGTCCCAAGGGTCCTTGTGCAGACTCATTAACACCCGAGAGCCGGATGCAGTGGCGCAGGCGCGTTAACTGAATTCCACGGAATCGAACCATTCAGAGCACGCGAGATCTGCATGCTTCAAATGGTTAGATAGATGATGAGCCTCGCTTGGCCCTGGCCCGCCCAGGACTCGGTGGCAGTTGGTGGCAACAGAACAAGAAATAATAAAATGGCGGTAGATTTTGTCTGAAGCAAAGCTTCCGCTCCGGCACAGCAACGGTCGGGCGCCACAGTGACCGTGCGTGCGAATGTGCGATCCGAGGTGAAGTCACCAGCTGTTTCGGCGGCGGTTCGGTCCTTGGAGTTGGACCTACCCTTTTCTTTCCTCACGCTCATGGCGTGCATGCATGGCCACGGTGGCCATCTTGGGCGTGGTCAAACGTGGAAGCTGCTGAACTGAACACGACTTCGGCGATGGACCTGGACCTGGGCCTGGTGCAGCCTTTTGCTGAAATTGGTTGAAAAATCGATGGTGAATTGTTGTAACGTCCGGTAAAACAACGCATATATAGGTAGTTCGGCTCGGGCTGATGGCGCTGCAACGTGGTGGCCTCGTCTGTTGTTGCCCGGCGATCTTTTAACCTAGTTTGAATACAAATGAAGAGGAGCGTACGTAGAGTGTACTCCTTCATCGACAAAAGAATGCAATTCTCGTTTTTCGAGAAGTCAAACAGTTTAAACTTTGATTAAATTTATATAAAAATATACAAATATTTATGATACAAAGTAAGTACCATTAGATTAGTTATAAAATATATTTTTATAATAAATTTATTTGGAGACATAAATGTTAATGGTCAAACTTGAATTTCTTTGACCGCACGCGCATCCCATAATTACATTCTTTTGCAAACGGAGGTAGTATTTGCTCCCTTGTTAAACAAATGCGAAAGGCTCTCAGGGACAAGGGACAACCTTGGTGTGTGCAGGCAATATGTTAGGTTAGTTACAAGATTAAGTTGTTGACGAAGAGATCAATCGTCCAATGTCTGCAGCAACTTTAGCTTAGCTCAGAGAGATAATCTACAAGGAGAAATTACATTCTAAACACCATCTACTCGTGAATTTAACAGTTTAACGTGCATTGGTGCAAATCTTCAATGCTGGCCCCCCTAGTGCAGCGGATCAGCAGAGCTACAACCAACAACCTTGTAACCCACTAACGTACTCTCTCCTCTCTTCGTCGATATATAAAGGCACGCAACACGTCTCAGTTGTCCACACAAAGTTGCCTGATCACAGCTTGCGCCCACAATGGCTGCCGACGATCTGCATTTCACTTTCACACGAACACTGTCCACCGTTCTCGCTACGAGCTTCTTCTTTGTACTCCTATGCAGCTCGCTACAAGGTACGGTGATAGTTTCTTCTCCGTTAGTTCCTTCCCCGTTTCATATCATATAGTAGCTAATCGCTCACTCACCGTATATATGATGCATGCATTGCATGCGTGAACAAATCAAACATAGTACGTGGCGTGAACTACACGTTCATGAAGGACGCGGCGCTGGCGCCCAGCGTGTCGTACTACGACTACATCATTGTGGGCGGCGGCACGGCCGGGTGCCCGCTGGTGGCCACGCTGTCGGAGCACTTCCGCGTGCTCCTGCTGGAGCGCGGCGGCTCCCCCTACGACGACGAGCGCATCGGGGACATGGCCCGCTTCGCGGACACGATGTCCGACACCTCCCCGGGCTCGCCCGCGCAGCGGTTCGTGTCGGAGGACGGCGTCATCAACTCGCGCCCGCGGGTGCTGGGCGGCGGCAGCTGCATCAACGCCGGCTTCTACACGCGGGCCAGCGACGACTACGTGCGGGACGCCGGGTGGGACCTGGGCGCCACCGGGGCGGCGTACCGGTGGGTGGAGGACGTGGTGGCGTTCCAGCCGGAGCTGGGACCCTGGCAGGCCGCGCTGCAGAGCGGGCTGCTCGAGGCCGGGGTCGGGCCGGACAACGGGTTTACGTCGGCGGGTCCATTTTCGACGCCGACGGGCGGCGGCACACGGCCGCGGACCTGCTCAGGTACGCGCGCGCCGAGGGGCTCGACGTGCTGCTACGGGCCAGAGTGGCCAAGATCTTGTTCATTTTCAGAGGTCAGAACGTAGTTCGAGTAAAATGTTACGGCTTCGCGGCATGCTGGCTGGCACGGCCAAGCCCGCAGGCACCGAATTTACCTGGCCTGGCCACAGTAGTGTACCAGGCGAACTGACTGGTGGTTACTTCGGCGCCAGGGAGACGGCCGGTGGCACGCGGCGTGGTGTTCCACGACTCCGAGGAGCGGATGCACAAGGCGTACCTCAACGCCGGCCTCCGGAACGAGATCGTCCTCTCGGCGGGCGCCATGGGCAGCCCCCAGCTACTGATGCTCAGCGGCGTCGGCCCAGCCGACCAGCTCGTTCGGCATCAGCATCGTGCGGGGTCGGCCAGGGGATGTCCGACAACCCCATGAACGCCATCTACGTGCCGTCGCCTTCCCCGGTCGAGATCTCGCTCATACAGGTCGTCGGCATCACCCAGGTCGGGAGCTACATCGAGGGCGCCAGCGGGTCCAACTGGGGCGTCCGGCCCTCAGCCTCCGGCGGTGTCCACCGGCCGCGCAACTTCGGCATGTTCTCTCCACAGGTAAGGTTCTTGCCACGGCGATGCTCTGTCATTGGCTCATTGCTGTTCTGTGAGTACTGCTGTTCTTGCAGACGGGGCAGCTGGCCACGGTGCCCCCGAAGCAGCGCACGCCGGAGGCCATCGCGAGCGCAGCGGAGGCGATGAGGCAGCTCGACGACTCGGCCTTCCGCGGTGGCTTCATCCTGGAGAAGGTCCTCGGCCCGCTGTCCACGGGCCACCTCGAGCTGCGCAACCGCGACCCCGACGACAACCCGTCGGTGACGTTCAACTACTTTTCGCACCCCGAGGACCTCCGCCGCTGCGTGGCCGGCCTGTCGGTCATCGAGCGCGTCATCCACTCCAAGGCCTTCGAGAACTTCACGTACTCCGACTTCTCCATGGAGACGCTGCTCAACATGTCGACCGGGTTCCCGGTCAACCTGCTGCCCCGGCACGACAGCGACTCCACGTCGCTTGAGATGTTCTGCAAGGACACCGTCATGACCATCTGGCACTACCACGGCGGCTGCCAGGTCGCCAGGGTCGTCGACGCTGAGTATCGAGTGCTCGGCGTCGACGCGCTGCGCGTCATCGACGGCTCCACTTTCAACGCCTCGCCAGGAACCAACACGCAGGCCACCGTCATGATGCTCGGCAGGTAATCCCTAGTGTGCTTACACCTGTGATATTTTATCGGCGCACTTTGAGCACTTCTCCAGGCAGGCCCTAGTGGTACTGATTCCCGTCTCCAAGGATGCCTTTTTAGGTCGAATCCTACCAATCTTCCAATGAATGATTGTGTCTCTAACTTGGCAGGTATATGGGAGTCAGAATCCAAAATGAAAGGTTGAAAGCTGAAGGAGTAGAGGGAACCCTCTGGGCACTCTGGATCCTATAATCCAAGGTAGGGACCCTCCAAGATAGTAGGCGTATTAAGTATCTCAACTGAAGTATGTAATGCTGGATTCAATATTGTTGGTGTGATTCTGATACTAATAGCTTGCACATATTGTCGGAACTGTATCATATTGTTTGTTACTATTACTATCTGTACTAAAGTGAGTGAAATCTGCATCTAAGCTTCAGATCATGTATTCTTGATCAGAACAGGAACATTAGTGAGGCAGCATCACTAATTTTACTGTGTGGTGAAATATTATACTGGACAATCGTTTTCTCTTAGGAAAATGGAAATCACCAGCAGTAAGTGTGGCAGCATCACTAATTTTATATACCATGTAGTCAAATATTATACTGAACAGTTAGTTTCTCTTTAGTAAAATGAAAATCACCAGCAGTTAGTGTTTTGTGGCTAGTGTCAATTGCCAAAGAAGGGTCTCGATCTCGAACGAGAAAGGGAATCCGATAGTGGGGTGAGAACTTCAGAGGGACAAAACCATGAGGGCAAAAGGGAAAGGGAGATGTTGGATGCCAAGAGGATATCCATGGTTTAAAACCCTTTGAAAAGATCATGAAGTACATGTCTTGTCAAGGATATATTCACTATAAATATTGCAATGCCGCAGCCCCACAGTGAGCATAAAACAATGAGGTCAAGATAAGAAAGAGGAAAGAACTCATTGTTTGTCAGGAAATGGAATGCCTAAGCTGTCCAGTTTCAGGGCTTCTCTTTCTTGGCAGGGAAGCATGAGAGAAGCCATAGCTCTGCTCTGTCCAGCCCTCTGCCAAAGGAGAGTTGCCCTGTAACAGGACTCAGCTTATGGTTCACGATCGTAAGGACAGTTTCAAGCTTACACTGCAGCTTAGTGTTGTACCGGCCTATGGTGGTGCAAGGTTTGAATGCTTCATATTTTTACTGGCTTTACATGTTTGTTCAAGCAGCCGAAGGAAATAGGTTGGTTTTTATGCCTTCCTTTGTGGTTTGCTATTTCCTGAATGTCTGAGCACTGGATCCTTCTGGTTTCCTTTTTTTAAGAAAAAAAAAAGGTTTACTGCCACTTTTGTAAGAAGAATCTGATTGTGTGGATGAAGAATGGTCACCACCAGAACAGGCCCAGTGTCATCTATTTTGGTGATTCTCTGCGTTTTTGTTGGTATAAAATCGGTCTGCTCAATCAGGTACATGGTTCAGTAGTATCATGATTCAGTGTCAAGATTTAACTTGGTTACCCAATAGTTATCCATCAATCATGGTCACTAATTTGGCAATGGGGCATGTCAATTACCTGAACTTGTGCTGAAGGAGAATATGCCAATTCGAATAAGTTTCATTTTCATTTGAAACCAGTTAAACTCAATTCTATGTAGCTTCGCCACTCCTCAAGTACCATAACCAACAACGCCCACCTCCACTTTTTGTAGAGGTTGGGGGAGCAATCCTCACTCCGAATTCATTACCATAAGGATTCCGGTTCTGCCAGAGCAAGCACTGCTCTCAACAGGTTTTGGCACACAGGCCCCAAGTTAACATAGGGTTTAGGCACACAGACCCCAAGTATGGCCATATCAACATCTCATACTTTTTTTTTAAAAAAACACACCTCTGAGAACTGTTATACTTGCAGCACACAAGCGCTAAGGTTGTCACTGCTTCATCAGATTAACTCACAGGTCGACTTAGTAAATAAAATAAAATAAAATAAAATAAAACTCACAGGTCGACTCTTTTAGTCTTTTAGCATGACTACAACCACAGAATCTTTCTAACCTAATCAACATAAATATACTAATTGAGTGGTTAACTAACTCATAATGCCTGACATGTTGGTTGATGCCTCTGTCAGTGGTCTATAGATGACCAGCGATTACCTTCTGTCGCGCGCCAGGATCAGTGGTCGTTGGGATGGCTAGCCGACGGCGGCTGATGGTCTTCAGGACGTGACTGAGATCCCTGATCCGTGGGATTATTTCTGGGAGTAATCATTAGTGGGTCAGATTAGTTACAAGTTACAACCTCCTACTATATGGCTCGAGAGGGCCTGGGACCAGGCCAAGGAATCAGTCTCTTGGAGTGCTTTCGATCATGCACGAGTAGACGGAGATTGGAGAGTTAGACCCTGTTTTCTCTGCCAAGACCCTTTTTTTTTCGGAAATGCTGTGCGGAGGGCGTCTGATTGTCCGGACATTCCTTTCGCGGGCCGCGACACCACGCCAACAGTCGTATCATTTCCAACTTCAGATGCTTCCGTTCTCCAGAAGACTTCCAACACTCGGGCACCTCTGTTCCGCAGCGTCGTGACCGCACTCCGCCGCGCCGCCTCGGCGTTCTCCACGACATCCGAGTACCCGCCGGCCAGCATCTCCACCGCGCCCGAGCGTGGCCGCCCGACTTTCTCCATCTCCATCGCGCCTCCAGCCCACCGCGGTGGCCCGCATTCCTCCATCTCTGCCATGCCTCCCGTCCGCCGCAACCTTCTCCAGCGCACGGACGGCTTTCTCCACTGGAGCGATGACAATAGTACTAGATCCATCACGACCTTCTCCACCGGATCTGTCGCGCCTTCTTCTTCACCGGAGCGGCGAGCTCCGCGCCACCGGCGAGCTCTACACCGGTGAACTCCACACGCCAACGAGCCTCCATTCCCAAGCAGCAAGGAGATATTACGTTGAAAACGCATGTTGCAAACATATGTAATATGTTTCAGAGGTATGTTGCAAGTGTTTCGTATCGGTGTTGCAAAATAGATTGGGAAATTACAGATGTTGCAATTGCTGCAAAAGTAGATCGAGAAATTGCACATGTTACAATGGATATGCGTGTATGTTTCAAGTGTATGTTCTAAATGTTTGATCTGTATAAGACGTATTTTGCAAGTGTTTTCATCTGAATGGTGCAAAAGTAGATCTGGATGTTGCATATACATGCATGTTGCAAGCATATGTTTCAAGTGTTTCATGCGTCTGTTGCAAGTGTTTCATCTGGATGCTGCATATGTTTGCAATGATTTTCGAGTGTTTTTCAGGTGTTTTTGCAAGTGTTTCAGACGCATGGTTCAAGTGTTTTATCTGTCTTCTTTTGTATGTTGAAACAGTTGCATTCTAGATGTTTTAAAAGTACATCGGATGTTCACATGGGATGCACGTGGGAAGTAGCTAGCGGCGCGGACGACGTCCGGGGCGGCGTGGGTGACGTCAGAGGTGGCGTGGGCCTGTTACCGGGGCGCTCGCTCACATGCCCGACATGCTGGGGTGCTCGTTGACCGGGTACGGTCCGACGCTAGCTCCCCGGATCGAATGTCCGAGTGCTAGCGAGTCCTTTTTTTGTGAAAATATCTATAAGCCCGAGACCAATTCTAACAGACTCCACAGGCCAACCTGCCCTGGTGGTCAGATCTGCCTCGTCTCTCCGGGTCTACATTAGACAGGCCCAATGACGGATCTAGAAGCATATACTAGAAGGGGTTTCTCTTCTTTAATTTATATATTTAGTCTCTTGTTCTAAGCTTCAGTGGCTACAAACTTGTAGTGAGGGCTTAAGAGGGCTCCATACATCCGGCGGTGGTAGCGGGGCTTGAGCCCAAGCTGACTCGGTGCTAGACCTGCCCTTGACAGGTCCTGGGCAAGAACAGCTTCAGTTCTGGATACCATCACCTAGAGCCGACGACCATTCTCTGTAAGGGCAGCTCCAAGCCTCCAACAATGTTTAAAGAGCTAGCTCACAAAATATTTATTGAGTATGAAGGAGAGGAATAATAAGTGAGCTAAGCTCACACACTTTCCTATGATTCATGTGTCTATGGTTACATATTTCTATATTATCATGTTGGGTGACTCTGTTTATATTTTTATAAGTTCATACGAGCTAACAAGTTGACTCTATTATATTGTTAAGGGTGCCCTAATAACACAGAAGATGTCTTGTCGCCTGTCAGGCACAACTGGTCCAATTTTGTACCATTGAGCAAATGGCTCGCCACTGCTATGACGATTTGTGATCCTAAAAACACATTTTGTTATGTCACTTCCATACACCGCACAAATACAGAAGAACTAAAAACATTAAGAAATCACAATACATGCAATTGTTTCCATTGTGGTCCTGAGGCGGTGCCTGGGCTCTTCCACAATCGGTTGCCCCCTTGCCAGGTTTGGCCTAAAACTTAACAGAAAAGTTTTGTTAACATATGAGATGACATGGCGGAAATGTGCTCTTGTTAATGATGGTGGGACCGTGATTGTCAAGGTGAGATAATCGAGCTTTGGTTGAGTTGGTTTAGTGTGATTTGGATTAATCAAGGCGTCGAATTGGCGTGTGTTATGCAACATTTCTGTTGGTCTATGAATGTGCAGGCGTTGAGTGCATCAAGGTGGTCGACGCCAATAGATAAGGTCAAGCGAGGTGTTTGGGACCGAACAGAAAGGCTTCGACCGAGGGACCAAGAGGCAAAAATGGCTCTAGTGGCAGTTTTGTAATAATTTATACTAGGTTTGTAAGGAGCCGAAAGAAGCCACTTTTTCTGGTTTTGGTTCCTTAGTACAAAAATAGCTATGGCTTCTCTGGGCTACTTGCAAGGAGCTGTTTTTTAGATGGCCATTTGGAAGGGCGCATGGCTACTTGTAAGGAGCCGTAAGAAGCTAGAGCTGTGCCAAATGGAGCTTACGGGGTATTTGGTTCCCCCGCCTTCACCTGCCAAACCACAACCGTGATGTCTGCCACACAATTTCTAGCTCCTGCTTGGTTGATAAGTCAAACGAGGCAGGCACAAGAACAACAGAGCAAAACATTTGTTATTCTCGGCATGGCCTGTGGAATTTGTCTGCCTCAAGTGTGGCGCCGCTTCATCCAAACAACATCTTAGCCTTTTTCTTCACATGAGTGGGAGGATGTTGGGAGATAGGCTAATCAATATATATAGATGAATTCTTGGTTGCATAATTCATAAGAAATTCATGTGGAAGTCGTGTTTGATCTGATTTCCTGAGTGATTTTAAGTTGTT